AGCACGACAGCAGAGGCACATTGGCAATAGACCGACGAGTAGGCAACCCTGCTCACGTGTTCCACACGTCATGCCAGCGCAAACCTATATATGCGCACATGCATGTACACGGGGACCCCCATGCGCACCTCCACGCGGGCCTAGTCGTCGCCCTGTACATGCGGGAGGGGGTGTGGGAGAGGGAGCGGGAGAGGAGAAGGGAAAAGTGAGAGGAGAAGGGAAAGGGAGAGGGAGAGGAGAAGGGAGAGGGCGAAGGAGAGGGAGAGGAGAAGGGAGAGAGGGAGAGGGAGAAGGAGAGGAGAAGGAAGAGGAGCAGGAGGAGAGAGGAGCAGAGGCCGACGGCGGACGCGGAGGTGATGATGAGGCGCGCGTGCGCGCTCATAGACGTGCGCGTGCAGCTGGCGACCGGGCACTGCCCTCTTGCCGCCACCGCGGTCCTCCTCCTCCTCCTCCTCCACCTCTTCCTCCTCCTCCTCTTCCTCCTTCGTTCCTCTTCCCTCCTTCCTCCTCCGTCCTTCCTCCTCTCTTTCTCCTCCCTGCTTCCTTCCTTCCGCCCCATCCCTCCACATCATTCCTTCTCCATCCTCCCTCATTATTCCTCCTTTCTCCTTCCTCCCTCCTCCTCCTCCTCTCACTCATCCCTCATTCTTCATCCCTCGTCCTTCACTCCACCTCCTCCTCCTCCTCCACCTCCTAATTACCTCCTGCTCTCTCATACTCACCTCCTTGTCCCCTCCTTCCTTCATTCCCCACTCCTCAAGGGGCTCACCACTTCCTGTCTTCCTTCCTTCCATTATTATTTCCATCCTTCCTTCATTCCTTCCTCCACCTCCTCCTCCTCTTCCTCCTCCTCCTCCTGCTCCTCTTCCTTTTCATCCTCCTCCATTATTATTGTTGCTCCTTCCTTCCTTCCAGAGAAGGCAAAACAAAAATTACGAAAAAGGTACCCGCCATGATGATGTGCTCAAGACGTCGGAGGTTTGGGTTGCTTTCTCACGGTTGGCCCACAGGCCCGTCCTGGGCCGCGTCAACAGAGTGTCGGGGCAGACCCAGACATCCGCCGACATGATTTTTCCAATCCGCGGCCCCAGGGGTCCCGATCCTGGTTGCTCCCATCGTATTTCAGGACCACATCCCTGAAAGATTTTCGAGCGCCCAGAGACGTCTCGGAACAGTGTCAAGCGAGGTATCGCCTCCCAGGGTCCGACGCGTGAAAGCCCTCCAGTTCCAGTACCTTCTTGGTGCTCGAAATGATCTCTGGTGATCGAGGCTAAAGTAGGCTGGAACATCATCATCCCCGGCGGGGGGTCGTCCTCCCGGATCCATGTTTGATTGATGGGCGTGTTTTCCGCCACCACCACCATAAGTTGGAGGGGGGAGGAGGAGGAGGACGAGGAGAAGGAGGACGAAGAAGAGGAGGAGGACCCCCTCCCCCTCCAACTTATGGTGGTGGTGGTGGAAAACAGGCCAATCATTTGATGGCCCCCGGGCCCGAGCACGGGCCATGGAGGCCGAAATCCAGGAGAAGAACCGCCCGACGGAAGAAATCGTACCGGTCTGACCAGGCCTCTGGGACCACTCTTTCCACTGAAGATGCTGTCCTCGGATCTCTGGCGCGAGCAATCTCGATGTCCATATCCAGGGCGCCTTGGACGTTCGCGGAAGGGGCGCCAGAAGGTCGAGGCGCACTGGATATGGGTAAATTTCGAGCCCCTAGCAGGGGCCAGATTCTTGTCAGTGTCCAGTGCGCCTCGGCATTCTGGGGAAGGGAGCCCGAAACTCCAGGCTGCAATGGATATGGCCGGGGAGACGTAAGACTCGGGTAGGGGGGACTCGGTTGGCCTCACGGGACCATCATGAAAATGACGAGACTCGATCCGAAATTTGACACGAGCTCCCGCTGCAAACGAAAACCAGACCGTCAACATCCAAGACGCGCCTCGCCAAAAAGCGGCGGCACACCCGCACTCCGGCTTTTACTCGAAACCTGCGCTTGCCCGATATATGGACGCAAGCCCTGCCCGCATATCTCGGCCCCTCGCCACCCGCAGGCGGGGCTGCAGCTGCACCCCAGACCCCCGACGTCGCGCTTTTTTTTCGTGACGACGTGCCCCCCCGAAAGCCGGATTTGCCACATTTCTGAAATTCGGTGCCACCCCTCACGCAGATCCGCGGGGTCAGGGTCCAAAAACACATGGGATTTGCCACATTTCTGAAATTCGGCGCTACCCCCCACGCAGATCCGCGGAAACCGGCTTTTCATCCCGAATCGTTCCTTCACGGCTCCGAGGCCCAACGAGGGCCCCCGGAGGCCGAAAGGAGCGCAACACTTCCCGCCGCGATATCGCTTCACCACGCGAGGGGGTCCGGCACCGGGCCCCCCGCGGAGGGGAGGCCGCTGGCGGCGCGGGCCCGGGCGCGGCGGCAGGCAGGGCCCCCAGGCGCGCGCCGCAGCCTCGCGCCGGGGCGCCTCGCGCCGCGCCGGGGCCGCCGCCCGGGGGCCTCCGCGGGGGGGGAGCGCGCGGCTGCTCCTCTCTGATGGGGGCCCCAGGGACACACAACGACACGGACACAGGCACAGATCCCAGGGTTCCCCAGATGTCCCATGTCTTCTGGAGTTTCGTCGGCCCCCCCACTTCCCATCTTCGGCGATGAACGGTGTCTGCGTGTTTCTTTGCCTTCCTCGGCCTTGAGCAGGGACCGACCGTCCCGGCAGTCCTGTAGGCCTACCACAACATGTTGTCAGAAACCTCAATAAAAGTTATCAGAACAAGAACAATGTTCTTAGAACGTGAGCCCAATGTTCTAAAACAAAACAGTCCCAGCCTGACATGTCCTACGATCATGTCGTAGAAACCACAAGGGTTCTTCACATTGTTTGGTGGGCCTATAGGCGCGCCAGGACGCTTCGCCACTGCTTGATCCTCGCACCCGTGCGGGCAACCCCAGGGGCAGGGGCTCCGCATCGAGCCGCATCGCCGGCGCATCGGAGCTGCGGCGCGATGCCCCGACGACGACGACGACGACGACGACGACGACGACGACGACGACGACGACGACGACGACGACGACGACGACGACAACGTCGTCCGCGTCGGCGTCGTCGCCCTCGTCGTCGTTGTCGTCCTCGGACCCCGTCTGGGAGGCCGGCTCTTGAATTACATCCGATGGGGAAAGGCAGCCCGCCGTGGAGGGGGCCCCGGGCAGCCGTGCGCTCCCGCGGAGCCGCGGCGCGCGGCCGCTCCTCGCGCTCCCGCGCGGCCCCGGCGGGAGGGGAAGACCCCGCGCCCGGGGAGGGGGCCGCGGCTCCTGCTGCGTCGAGAGCCACGAGGACGCGGACGTGTGGTGCCGCTGGGGCCGGAAGAGCTGCAGGCCGTTGTCCTCCCGAGGGGGTACCCGAGTGGCACCAGTGTTAGGTCGGGCATGTCCTCCGACAAGCGGATGTGGGATGGAAACTTAGGAATGCTCCAAAAAGTTCCACTACTAGAGAAATCGCCCCTGACGATTTTTGGACTATCCAAGCCGCTCGGGGCGAAAAGTTCTTATGCCCCAGCGCCTTACTTTGCTTTGGGGGCATAAGAACTGATATGGTTACTGATGTTCCCTCGCTCCCCACCTCCTTTTCCGCCGCAGCCGGACTTGACGCAGCAGCGCTTTCGGTTCCAGCCCCAGCTGCGGCGATGCAAGGGGCAGGACGATGACGACGACGACGACGACGACGACGACGTCGACGACGAGGAAGTCGGGGGCGAGGACGAGAACGACGGCCACGACCAAGCAGACTAGCCAGACGGCTCAGTCAGACCGGCCAGGTAGACCAACCACACCAGCCAAACCAGCAAGCCGCTCGGACCACTCTCGCCTGGATCCTAAGCTAAGGCTGCAAGACGAAGCTAAAAACAAGACCAACCACACCAGCCAGACCAGATGCAGAAAAACTGCAAATGCAAAAAAAACTGCAAAGCAACAAAACATGCAATGTTTAAAAAACTGCATTTCGGTCGATCGTAGTGGTGGTTGGCGCTGCCTCGCCAGACCTCCCTAAATCACTCTCGCTCGGATCCTAAGCTAAGGCTGCAAGACAATGCTCAAACCAGACCAACCACACCAGACAAACCAGATGCAAACAAAAACTGCATGCAAACAAACTGCAAAACAAACAAAAAACTGCAGAGGAAAAAAAGAATGCGTTTCGGTCGTCGTGGTGGTTGGCGCGGCCTCGCCGGACCTCCCTAAACCACTCTCGCTCGGATCCTAAGCTAAGGCTGCAAGACAATGCTCAAACCAGACCAACTAGACCAGCCAGACCAGATGCAAAAAAAATGCAATGCAAGAAAACTGAAAAGCAAAAACAACTGCAATGGAGCAATACTGCGTTTCGGTCGTCGTGGTGGTTGGCGCTGCCTCGCCAGAACTTCCCTTAACCAATCTCGCTCGGTTCCTGAGCTAAGGCTGCAAGACGAAGCTAAAAACAAGACCAACCACACCAGCCAGACCAGATGCAAAAAAACTGCAATGCCAAAAAAGCTGCAAAGCAAAAAACAACTGCCATGAAAAATATTGCATTTCGGTTGTCGTCGTGGTGGTTGGCGCTGCCTCGCCAGACATTCCCTAAACCACTCTCGCTCGGATCCTAAGCTAAGGCTGCAAGACAATGCTCAAACCAGACCAACCACGCCAGACAAACCAGATGCAAACAGAAACTGCAATACAACCAAAAAACGCAAAGCAAACAAAAAACTGCAGTGGAAACAAATATTGCGTTTCGGTCGTCGTGGTGGTTGGCGCTGCCTCGCCAGGCCTCCCCTAAACCACTCTCGCTCGGATCCTAAGCTAAGGCTGCAAGACGAAGCTCAAACCAGACCAACCAGACTAGCCAGATCAGATGCAAAAAAACGGCAATGCAAAAAAGCTGCAAAGCAACAAAACCTGCAATGCACAAACAACTGCATGTCGATCGTAGTGATGGTTGGCGCTGCCTCGCTGGACCTCCCCTAAACCACTCCTGCCCTGACCCTAAGCTAAGGCTGCAAGACGACGCCCAAGACCAACCAGACCAAACCAGACCAACCAGACCAGACCAATGGACGAGAACAGACCAACCAGACCATACCTAAGCTAAGGCTGCAAGACGAAGCTCAAACCAGATCAAACCAGACCAACCAGACCAACCAGACCAGAGCTAGACTTTCTCTTTGTAAGTTTGGCGTCCTGCCGTGCGCTACACGGCAAAGAACTTTGTCTCTCAATATTCCTCCTGTAGAGGAACATGCCCGACTTAACACCAGTGGCCCAAGCATGGTTGCGGGTGGAGAGGCCCCCCCTATCCTCCTCCTCCTCCTCCTCCTCCTCCTCCTCCTCCTCCTCCTCCTCCTCCTCCTCCTCCCTCCTCCTCCTCCTCCTCCCCATCCTCCTCCTCCTCCTCCTCCTCCCCTCCTCCTCCTCCTCCTCTCCTCACCACCACCACAACCACCACCACCACCATCATGATCATCATCATCATCAGCAGCACATCATCAGCAGCATCATAATCACACCACCACCACTATCATCATCATCATCATCATCATCATCATCATCATCATCATCATCATCATCATCATCATCATCATCATCATCATCCATCATCCTCATCCTCATCATCATCATCATCATCATCATCATCATCATCATCATCATCATCATCACCAACAACAACAACAGCCCTATTACTATTGTTAATACCACTATGATCATCCTCCTCCTCCTCCTCCTCCTCCTCCTCCTCCTCCCCCTCCTCCTCCTCCCCCACCTCCTCCTCCTCCCCCCTCCTCCTCCTCCTCCTCCGCCTCCCTCCCCCCCTGGTCCTCATCCTCATCCTCATCCTCATCCTCATCCTCCCCTCGGCGACGCGGGGGCGAACGGGGCGCTTCGCCGGGCTCCTGCGGGACGGGCCCCGCCTGGAGAGGCTCGTCGCGGGCACGCGGCCCCACGGCTGCGGCGCTGGCCAGCACCGGCTGCCCGCGGGCGCTGCTGCGCAGACGAGGACCGCCACGAGCGGACGAAACGCTCGAGGCGAAACACCCGACAACGACTCCTGTCCAGAATCGGGGGGCGAGATCGAAGAGGAAGGGAGAGCCCCCCTGCGGGAAAGCGGCTTCGGTTTCGGGTTCGTGCCGCGCGTGCGGGCGAGGCGAAGCTGCGTGAGCGGGTGAGGGGAATGACTCCGCTGTGGCAAGGGCGGATCACCCTTGTGTCCTGCCGTGGTGTCCCGTCGGTGTCCCGTCGGTGTCCGCGGACGGTGGCCAGGGGTGTCCCGCCGTTGTGTCCCGTCGGTGTCCCGTCGGTGCCCCGTCGGTGTCCCGCCGGTGTCCCGTCGGTGTCCCCTCGGTGCCCCGTCGGTGTCCCGTCGACCGTCGGTGTCCCGTCGGTGTCCCGTCGGTGTCCCGGCGTCCCGTCGGTACCCCGTCGGTGTCCCGTCTGTGTCTCGTTGGTGTCCCGTCGGTGTCCTGTCGGTGTCCCGCCGTCGGTGTCCCGTCGGTGTCCAGTCGGTGTCCCAATTGATGTCCCGATTGGTGTCCCGTGGGTTTCTCGATTTGGTGTCCCGATTGGTGTTTTGCTGGTGCCCCAGTGGTGCTTCTGTTTTGTTTCGATGGTGTCCCAATGGTGTCCCGGCGGTGTCCCGTTAGGTGCCCCGATTAGTGTTCCCATGGTGTCCTGGTGGTGTCCTGGTGTTGTACTGGTTGGCGTTTCGATTGGTGTCCCGATGGTACCCTGTCCCGATGTGTCCCCGACGGTGCCTCGAAGGTGTCCCGATGGCATGGTGGTGCCTCGATGATGCCCCGATATTCTCGAGGCGGTTTCCAGGATCGCTAGGATGGTCACATTTGGGGGGGGCGGGATCGAAAAGAACCGACAGCGCCAAACGATTCACCACCACCAGGCACGGGGTCGATAGTGAGATCGATGGAGCGAAACAGACGATAACATCGGCCCCATGAGGTCGGGAAACTGACACTGATTGGCCGAGTTCGATTGGGACATCGACCGCTCAGCCACGGGATCGATGAAGAGATCGACACGGGGAGGTCGACGGAGCGACCCACAGTGAGATCAGCATCGAGGTCGATACAACCAGGCTGGGCTCTGCCAGGCGTCATGGCTATTCGCCAGTGTCGCCAGTGTGCTGGCCCACTGCCATCATGCACTGTCGTCAGCATCGTCGTCTTGCATCGTCGCCGACTCGTGAGCGCATCACCAGCATCGCCGCAATCACGATCATCGCCGTTGCCCTCAGTTGGTAAGTTCCCCCCCCGAACCTCCTTATCTCCCTACGGGTGGTCGTGTAGACATGCTGCCAGTATGCTGTCAGTCATCGTCCCCACTCCTTCTGTCCCGACCGCGGCCATCTGGAGCGTTAGCGGAGCCAGCCAATGACTGCAACGGGCGGGAGACGGCTGAGATGTACCAAAGAGGGCCTGGACCACTGGAGGAGCACTGTCAGGGGCCGGAACCAGAGTTGAGGCGGGTTTCAACGAGTCTCCCGAGCTGCCCGGTCGGCCCGCCCGTCTCCCTCAAAATCGGTCCTCGCATCCCTCCCTCACTCACTCACTCTCATGGCGGTCGAAGGGAGCTCCTGCAGCCATGCGCACCTTTCCTGACCCTCCCGCCCGACAAGGACCTTGGCGGGAGGGGGGGCCCATTCGGGAAAAGGTGAGAAAAAGAGGCGAGAGCGGGGGTAAACACATCTGGCCAAGCAGAACAGCGGGGCGCCCGGCCGACGCGTCGTGGCATCTCCGAGCGAGTCATCCTGGCCATCGCTCGGACGTCAATTTCCTGTGTTTTTTCGGTTTCGTGCGTGGCTTTTTCGCCAAATCATCAAGGATGCTTCTCGATGGCCCTCGCCAAAGGAAAAATGCACACGTCCGAGCGATGCCAAGCATCCCTCCCGGACAGCAGCCCGACCAGTCCTCAGGAGTCGCGTCCAGCCGCGGCCCCGAGGGCCGCACTGGGGGGCCCAGAAAAGTCCCGCCGGGGCCCGCCTGGGCGTGGGGAGCTCGGAGGGGTCGGGGCACGGGCACTGCCAGAAGAACCCCCTCCCTCCCCTCCTGGGCGACGAACGAACAACACACACCCATACCCATAGGGAGGTCGGAGGGAGAAGGACTGGCTATGGGTATGGGTGCGGGTTGTCGGACCCCTGAGGAGGCTCCCGTTCGAGCGGGGACCCCTATCCGACAACACGCACCCATAGCTCATGCCGTCTCCCCTATGGGTATGGGCGCGTGTTGACCGTTCGTCACTGGGAACTTTTCACGGATCCTCCCTCCACACGCCCCAGGACGGGGGGACATCGCGACCAGTTGGAGCGTCCTGAACTGCCCGAGATGGCCCCAAGGACCCTGGATTGCCCGTGATAGTCTCCCAACTGGCGGAGGATGGCCCAGGTTGCCTCCAGCATGCCTCCAAGAGGTCCCGAGAACGCCACACAAGACGTCGCGAGGAGGCCGTGGAGCCTCCCAGGGATGCCCCCGAGAGGTCCAGATCATTGAAAGCCTGTCGCTAGTTGTTTCTTTTAAAAAATGTATGACATGACGTTTGCCTTTTCGCCGTTTCGCCTCCGATGGACTTCGAGGCCTCATGAGATCTCCATGATGGCCCCTGGGGGTCTAGGGGCCCAGAAGGGCCAGGATGAGTGAGCAAAGGCATAATAAATACATGTACGCCCTCCACGGTCCCAGGTGCACGAATGAACGCGTTCAAAAAGCGTGCCAACAGAAGCTGACCGCGTACGTGTACATGCGTTTTTGGCCTCAGACGCAAGGACCCCGAAGGCCCCCAAGAGCACCTCCAGAGCGCTCTCAGAGGGCTCAAGCCACGATCGCTCGGGCTCTGAGTGGGCGACGCTGATTCGGGATCGTCCTCTCATCTGACCAATGGCCTCCAAGAAACTCCTCCAGGAGGGCCCCGACGGCCCCCCCGACCGGATGCGCGGCAGCAGGATGCCACAGTTATGGCCGCTGGAAGGAAGCTATCCTGGCGAAGGACCCAACCAAATGTAATTCTGGATACCGCGTTGTGGTTACCGTCTTCGGTGGAACTCCGTCTGGGGGCACGAAACGCGCGAGACGTGTGCCGCAATGGTGTCGGTGGGGAGCGCATGCGAACTGTGCCACTGGGGCCTTAGCTGGAGCTGCCCATGGGGCCACGAAATGTGCGAGGGGTGCGCCGACGTAGGCCCGGAATCAGCATGCAAACGTCGCCAAAGAGGACTCCGGTGCTCGCGGCGACGGCCACTGGAGCCTTCAGTGGAGCTCCCTGTAAGGCCACAACACGCTGTACTGGGTGGGGTGGGGGGGGGGGAAACATATGGCCGCGGCCACTGGGGCCTTCGGTGGAGCTCCCTACGGGACTTCGAAACGCTGGGTTGGATGGGGGAGGCGCATGCAGCCGCGGCCACTGGAGCCGTGCGCATGAAACATGTGAGGGGTGTGCCCAGATGGGGCGGGGGGAAGTATGTGGACAGCGCCACTGGGGCCGTCGGCGGAGCTCCCCATAGGGACACGAAACGGGTGAAGGGTGTGGGGCGGAATGGAGCGGGGGGACGTATGTGGACTTTGCCACTGGATCCTCCGGTGGAGCAGCCACGAAACGTGTGAGGGGTGTGACGACATGGGCGGGAACCGCATGTGGACTTTGCCACTGGGGCCTTCGGGAGGCGTGTTGGGGACGGATTGGGGCGGGGGGACGTATATGGACTTGCACCTGGAACCTAGGGTGGAGCAGCCACGAAACGTGTGAGGGGTGTGCCGACATAGGCGGGGAACCGCATGTGGACTTTGCCACTGGGGCCTTCGGTGAAGCTTCCTATGGGGCCACGAAACGGGTGAGGCGTGTTGGGGACGGAATGGGGCGGGGGGACTTATATGGACTTGCACCTGGAACCTAGGGTGGAGCAGCCACGAAACGTGAGGGGTGTGCCGACATGGGCGGGGAACCGCATGTGGACTGTGCCACTGGGGCCTTCGGTGGAGCTCCCTATGGGGCCACGAAACGTGTGAGAGGCTGACATCGGCGGAAAAAAACGCATATGGACTGTGCCACTAGGCCCTTCGGTGGAGCTCCCTATCGGGCGGGTGTGCCGACATAGGCAGGGAACCGCATGTGGACTGTACCACTGGGGCCTTCGGTGGAGCTCCCTATGGGGCCGCGACACGGGTGAGGGGTGTGCCAGAATGGGCGGGGATCCGCATTTGGACCTTGCTACTGGGGCCTTCGGCGAGGCTCTGCAAAGGGGCACGAAACGTGTGAGGGTGCGCCGAACATGAAGGCTGATGCGGAGAGCAGCAGTAAGGGGGGAGAGGAGGGTGAGGAGGAGAGGATGAGGACGCGGGGCACTGTCTCCTCAAAACGGGGACCCATTACCTCAGGATGGTTGGGAAAAACAGAAGCCGCCAGAAAGGCCTCCCAAACGGGGCCAGAGCAGATGGCGTTGGAGAATAGCGACGCTTCGGCGATGCATCATCGACGGCGGGATGGAGAAGAACGGGCTCCAGGTCGAGCCGTTTCGCCAGTGTATCGGCGATGCAGCGTGATCCTCTGACTCCATCTGCTCTGGCCCCATTTGAAAATCGTGGGCGGCGGGGGCGTCAGCGGGTGCCAATCCACACAGACACCCAGTGTCTGTAGTTCTTCCATACAGGGTAAATGCCCGACGCCCCGACCCTCGTGATACAGCCAAGACGCTGGAATGAGGACCGCTTCGGGCTCAGGAGGGGCTCGGCACCTTCGGCGCGGTCCTGCGCTGGCTGCTTGCGCGTGCCCCGTGCGCCGCGGGGCCTGCGCCTCGCGGTTGCCTCGACCGCCGCGGCAGCCTCGGGCTCGCCCGTCCTGGCCGCCTCGGCTGGCTTCGCCAGGGCGGTCGACCCCGAGGGCTCGGCCGCAGCAAGCCTGGCCCGCAGCCTGAGACGCCCGACTCGCGGTGGCGTCTGCGACCGCCGAGGGCTCGCGGGCGCCGGCCTCTTGCTGACCATGGCGCTCAGCCCCAGAGCGCCTCTGGGGGCGGCCCTTCGGCCCCAGCGGGGCCCACGCCTGCGCCCACGCCCCTTTGCCCCCTGCGTGGCTCTTGACTCCAGGCGGGGGCGCTCACTGGCGCCTCCTCTGCGCGCCTGCGCGCCCGCCTCTTGCCCCGAAGGGCAACCAACACCCCGCAGGGCGGGCCGGGGTATTTGGGCCCAGCCAAGCAGCGCCCCCGCCGCGCAGCAGCCCGCCAGTCGGGATGAGGGGTATCGCCCGCCGCGCGCTGCCTCGGTAACCCTGAGTCGGAGGCAAGCCTCTACTCCAGGGCCGCCGTGGCAGGTCGGTGGGCGCCGCCCAAAGCCGTTTTAGGCAGCTTGAACCCAAACAGCTGCGGAGAAGCCGTCGCGCTACTCGTTGCTTCCCCGCCATACTCCCGTAAGCTGAGCTGTACATCCATAATGAGAATAAGAATCATAATCATAATGATAAGAGGGGAAGAATGATAATAATAAAACTAAAAGAAAAGAATAATCATCATCATAATAACCATCATCATCATCAGCAGCAGCAGCAGCATCATCATCATCATCATCATCATCATCATCATCATCATCATCATCATCATCATCATCATCATCATCATCATCATCATCATCATCATCATCATCACCATCATCATCATCATCATCATCATATTCAGCATCAGCATCAGCATCATCATCATCATCATCATCATCATCATCATCAGCATCATCAGCATCATCATCAGCAGCATGATCAGCATCATCATCAGCAGCATCATAATCATCATCACCATCATCATCTGCAGCAGTAGCATCATCGTCAGCATCCTCCTTATCAGCATCGTCATAATGATTATCAGCAGCTGCATCATCGCAACCACCATTAGCATCAACATCAACATTGCCATCATCATCACCATCCTCATCATCATCACCATCATCAGCATCAGCATCAGTATCATCATTATCATCATCATAATCATCATCATCAGCAGCATCATCATAGTCATCATCGTCATCATCATCTGCACCACCACCACCACCACCATCACCATCACCATCACCATCACCATCACCATCACCATCATCACCACCACCATCATTCCTCCTTGTTCCTCCTCGTCCTTTTCATTATCCTCATCATCTCCTCATTCTCCTCATCATCCTCATGGCCACTAACAACCATGCTGTGGATGTCAAAAACCCTATTCCTCCTCGTCCGTCCACTGCTCCTGCTGCTCATCTTTCTCGGCCTCCTCCTCCTCCTCCTCCTCCTCCTCCTCCTCCTCCTCCTCCTCCTCCTCCTCCTCCTCCCTCCTCCTCCTCCTCCTCCTCCCTCCTCCTCCCCCTCCTTTATCTTCTGCTCATCATCCGCGGACCCCGCCTCCCCCGTAATGCCGTCGGCTCCTTCGCCGTGTCGGGCAAGGTCAGGCTGTCGGCCCCGAGCGTGTCATCGCCGGGATGAGGCTGCTCGTACACCTGGCGGGCGAGGATCTCGATGTCTATTCCGCGGCCATCGGGTCTCCCCCCCCGACCAACCTACGACGAAGGCAAGATGAGGACAAATGCAAATGATGTGATTGGATCGGGAATCTCTGAGACCTGGCGGGTCTGGAGGACGCATCGGGCGCCGCAACCGATCCAGAGCACTTCCGGAACGCTCAGGAGCGACTTCGCCCCATCCAGAGCTTGAATGAACCCCCTTAAAGGGGGGGGGAGGAGCCGGGGGGACATCAAGGATTCACCTCACCGATCCTGGGCCCAGGATCGGCCCAGCCAGGATCAGTGAGCTGGATAGTCGACTGTCTGCGTGCGCGCGCGTGCGCAGAAACATCACGAGGGGGCACTCGCACATGCCGAGGGTCATAGATAAACAGTCAGGGGCAGCGTACTGTCAGGCAGAAGGGAAGGTGAAGGGGAGGGGGAGGACAGGCGGCCACATGTGAACCCTACCCCTACCCCCAACGATTTTTGAGGGGGAGGGTGGGGTTCACTTCGCTCGGGGGGGGCAGGGGTAGGGTTCGCCTGTGGCCCCCTAGAAGAGGAGGAGGGGGTTCTCCTGCTCCTCGTCCTCCTTGATTGCAGTCGGCACGGCTTCTGCGCTGCCCTGCGGGCCCCTGCTTTTCCCGCCGCACCCTTTGCTGCCTTCCCTGGCATCTGCGGCTGATGCTGTTTTCCACGAAGCACATCACAAGACGTTACCGTGTGGCGCTGCGGCTACTGTTCGCCAAAGCTGGGCCAATTACAGAAGTCGGCCATGGTTGAAGGCGCCTTGGGGCACACAAGTAAATACACACACACACACACACCTATGTTCTGGGAATTTTGTCTTCCCCCCCACTTCCCATATTTTCCCTCATTTCCGAGGGAATCGACGATTAATTGTGTCTGTGTTTTTCTCCCTCGTGAATACTCCCCCCGCTCCTGCTTTTCATGGCCCTCGGGGGCAGCCTTCGTCGCCACGGCTGGATTCGCCGCGAAATCCTGCCCAACAAACGCCCCAGAACAGGTGCGATGGGGGCCACTTGAAGGAGGAGGATCAGAAGTAGGAGAAGGAGACGAAGACACACAACAATAATATAATAATGATATTATTCATGATACGAACAAAAACGATGATAAGAAGAAGAAGAAGAAGAAGGAGAAGGAGAAGGAGAAGAAGAAGAAGACGAAAGAACAGCAGCGGCAAGAAGATAATTAAGTAGGAGCCGCATGCGCCAGCTTGTCGGAGGCGATCCTTTCGAATGCTGGCGAGCTGGCTTGGGAAATCGGGGCCCCTCCTCGTCCCCGGTCCTACTGCAGGTTCGTGTCGTGTCGACCCCAGCGTTGGTTCCTGACACCGCGCGGATCGCCCAACCTTGAACGATCGGCCGTCTCCGAGACGGAAGATCGTTGAACATCGCCCGATTCTGGGTCGCTGGCGGCGTTCAACGTTGAACGCAGGCGGCGGCGGCGGGGCCGTCGCTGGTCGACACGACGCGAACGTCACCCTGCGTCTGTTCGTCCCCGTCCTCTGCACTCCGTAGCCCTGCCTCCTTCCACTCCTCCCCCTCCCGGCCAGCTCCCCGCGGCCTCCGCCTCCGCACTGTTTTTTGTCCGCCCTCCCTCCTTGCCCCCTGCTCGCGCGGCAGCTCGACCACAAGAAACCTTCCACGAGAAACGCAAATCCCGGAACACCAGGAGGTCCACCCATCTCTTGTGCAGGAACGTCGCGCCTCCTGTCGCAGAACCAGCGACCCCCCCCCAAAAAAAAGGGGGCACCCTGGAGGCAAGCAGGGTGCTTCCTGGCATGGGCTCCCACTGCAGCCGTCCTCCGCCATCTCCCCGCACACCCAAACCCCTGCGAACACAGCCAAGAAGCTGACACATAAGGACCACTTTCAGACGAGCGCGCTCCACTCCTCGCAAAGTAGCTACTCGCAAAATGGCCTGGATCCGCCTCGGGGGCCCCGGGGGATCGACGGTAAATCACATCGAAACAAACATATGTTTTTTTTCTGACGTTTGCGAGCAGGCACTCTACGAGTAGTGGAGCGCGCTCGGTGAACTTGCGGCTCATTGGGGGGGGCTCTGGTGTTCGGCCCGCTCCGCACATCCAGGCCCCCATACCTCCGACGTCGTGTTTTTTTTTTTTTACCACGTCGACCCCCAGAGGCCGGGGCCCCTTCCCAGGGACCGGCTTTTCATCCCGAGTCGTTTCTTGAAGGTCACGAGAGCCCTGGGAAGGGCCCCCCGGAGGCCGAAAATCGAGAAACAAAAAAAACATCCCGTCGGTTTTTTTTCACAACGTCGACCCCCAGAGGTCTGGACCCGTTCCCAGGGACTGGTTTTTCATCCTGAATTGTTTTTTTCTGAAGGTCCCGAGGCCCAGGAAGGGACCCGAGAGGCCGAACATCGAGAAACAAACAAAAAAACATCCCGTCGCGAGTTCTTCACAGCACTAGGGGGTCTGGCTTCCCCCTCCTCCTGGCAGCCAGGGCAGCCGTGCTCGCTCTGTGCGTGCCCCCCCCTCCCCCCCGCGCACGCCACCCACTCCTGGCGTGGCTGCTCCTGCCCTCTTTGGCCTGAGCTCCCCTGCCCTGGGAAGCGCTCCCGCCCCCGCCCCCCCCCCGGCTGCCAGCCTTAATTAGGTCGGGCATGTCGTCCACAGGCGGATGGAGGAAAAATACAGAAAGGGGTCAAAAAAAAGACAGAAAAACATGGTCCAGGCAACAAAAAAATGAAAGCGTCCCCGTCGCTTTTGTCCCTACCTACGCTCTGCCTGGAAGGGTTCTTACTCTCTGGGTTGAAAAGGGGCCGGGAAGTGGAAAGCGCCCCGGGCGGTTCCCCCAGTATCCGCCCCGCGGTTCCCCCAGCTACGTCCCCTTCGCTTAGCGTTGCTTATCTCATCTTAGCTTAGCTTATTTCATACTAGCTTAGCTTAGCTTCATCTTAGCTCAAGTTTATCTTAGTTTACCTCACCTTCATCTTAGGTTCGCTGAGCTTTACCATAGCAGAGCGCAGAATAGCATAGCGTAGCATAGCATAGCGCAGTCGTCGTCGTCCCCCCCGCCTAGAGCAAACAAAAAACGAACCGTGGGCGACGCCGCCGCTGCCGCAACTGCCGCCGCTGCCACCTGTTCCTCCTCGTCATCCTCACCGTCATCCAGCTCCTGGTCCTCCTGCCCCGGATCTGTGGGTGTATTTTGTGGCGCTCGTGTGTGCCAACCGCGTTGCCAGTTTAGTTTTCTGTTCGGGTGATTAGCATGGGTGGAATTCCCTACCTAGGCTCTGCCTCTAGGGCTAACTTAGCTTAGCTTAGGTTAGCTTAGCATAGCGCAGCGCTGCATTAGCATAGCACAGCATGGCATAACATAACATAGCATAGCCAATCACATAATAGCATAACATAGCATAGCGCAGCATAGCATAGCATAGCATATCATAGCAGAGCATATCATAGTATAGTCTAGTACATCATAGCATACCATAGCATAGCATATCATAGCGCAGCTTAGCATAGCATATCATGTCATGTCACAGCTTAACACAGCACATCGCAGCATGACATCGCATAGCATAGCTAGGCACAGCTTAGCATAGCATAGCATAGCATCGTATAGCATAGCATAGAACCTGCTGCTTTCCTAGGGGCTCCAACTTCTAGGTAGGGTCGCACTGGGGTAATCTGTTATCTTTGAATTTCCCTCCTGCAGAGGGACATGCCCGTCTCAACGCCAGCCCGACGAAAGGAGCGCCAGGCCCAGGGCCCTCCCGCTCGGCCTGCTTGCAGCAACGCAGGGCCGACGGCCGAGCTTTGCCCCCCTCGACCCGCGAGGGTGGCGAGGGCGAGGCGTTCGGAGGATTCTGCCTGTGGCACCTGCCAGGCCACGACGCGGGCCTCCAGTGACGTCTGGGGACCTCCAGGGACCTCCGGGGGTCAGGATCCGGGGAGGGGGCAAGGCATTCCAAGACCACCGCCGATGCCCTTTCAACATGGACGTGTTGTGTTCGACGTTGCAAAATGCGTGGCAGGAGTGGGACGGCGCCAGTCGCCGGGTCACAGAATCCGCGTGGCTGCCCGCGGCAAACGCCTCGCGGGGGGCAGGCGGGCAAGGGCGGAATCCTGCTCTGGGCCCACATGTTCTGCTGTCGTTGCCGTCTTTCCTCCCCCTTCTGCTCATCCTCCTCCCCCTCCCCCTCCTCCCCTCCTCCGCCCCCCTCCTCCTCCTCCTCCCCTCCTCCTCCTCCTCCTCCTCCTCCCCTCCTCCATCCTCCTCCTCCTTGTCCTCCTCCTCCTCCTCCTCCTCCTCCTCTCCTCCTCCTCCTCCTCCTCCTCCTCCTCCCTCCTCCTCCTCCTCCTCCTCCTCCTCCTCCTCCTCCTCCTCCTCCTCCTCCTCATCGTCATCCAAATCGGCGCTACACACATATATTTTCCCCCAAGAAACGGACCCCATGGATCCCCTCGGACCCGTGGCGCTGGAGACCCCTGGACACCCTTGCAGAAGGTTCCACGTGTTTTCCAGCGCTCCTGGGACGCCCCTGCTGGGCCTGGCCGGCAAGCCCAAATCGGTCCGAAGGGCGGCCGGACGGCCAGGCGAGAGCCCCGAGCGGCGCCAAACACTCACCAAACGCCTGAAGGCGACCCAAAGAAGACCCCCCAGAGGTCCTGGAACGATCCCCACCGAAAGCTTCGACGTATGCTATGACATGATACGTTCTGTCATGGTGCGTCATAGTATGCTATGTGCTGTTGTGTTGTGAGGCGTGGTGGTATGCGATGTTTTGCGTGACCACAAATGTCAATGGCTATGGTGCTATGCGATGTTATGCGTTGCTACGTAAAACCTATTACGCTGCGATGGGTCCAGGTATGAGTTGTCATGGCAGGGAGTGGTGTGTGATGTGTTGCTGTGCTGTGCTGTGGATTTTTCTCTCATGACATATGATGTGGTGCTCTGTTATGCCATGTTGTGGTGTGTCATGGTATGCGATCGTCT